CTATAACCTTACTCTCCTGCATCAATATGCATCCAATACCATTTAACGAGACATCGCTAAAAATTTTGAAGTCTTTACCCAAATCGAGTTGGGTCAACACTAAGTCTTGAGTCAATATGACTTTAAACTATTTGGAGCTTTTCTATCGCTTTTTACTCCAAACGAATGAGACTCCCTTTTGAAATAGTTTGGTTAGTGGAGCAACCATCATTGAGAATCCTTAAACGAACCGAAGATAGTGCCCGACTAGAGCTAGGAAACTATGCATCTCAGACATCTTTTTAGGTGGCTCCCACTATACATTGACTTGAATTTTCTTAGGGTCAAATCAAATATCTTCTATTGACATGACATAACCTAAGAATGAAACTTTTGGTAGCCAAAACTCACACTTCCCAAACTTGGCATACAACTGGCGGTATCGAAGTTTTGAAGGATGATACAGAGATGGTAGTTATGTTCTTCTTCTAATTCAGAGTAAACTAGGATATCATCAATGAATACTACTAAGAAGTGATCTAGGTGTGGGTGAAAGACTTGGTTCATTAGATCTATGAATTTCATCAGGGCGTTGGTGAGTCTTAATGACTTTATCAAAAACTCATAATAATCAAATCTTATCCTAAAAAATGTCTTTTTCACATCAGTGTCCTTTACCTTCAACTGATAATAACCAAATCACAAGTCAATCTTAGAGAATACACACGCTCCTCTAAGTTGCACAAAGAGATCATTAATTTTAGAGAGTGGATAACGATTCTTGATGGTTAACTTGTTCAATTGTCTGTAGTAGATGCACAACCTCATCGACCCATCTTTCTTTTTACAAAAAATAGTGGCACTCCTTGTTGAGAGATACTCGGCCTGATGAAGCCCTTCTCTAACTACTCATGAATCTGAGCTTTCAACTCTGGCAGTGTCTGATAACTCTCCAAAAGAGTTATCTTTCCTAGCCTTTTTCACCTAGATTTAGTTTGAGCTTGAGTATTTTTATAAGTATTTTAGGATTATATCTGTTTAATTTTACATATTTTACAAATTGAGAATTTAGTGGGTTGTCTAGGGTTGAATTTGAATTTTGTGCAGAAAATAAATACACTGATGTCGTAGCATTGTAGGAAATGTTGAGTGGATACTGCAGCAGCTGATAAATCACCAGATGGTTAGAAGAAAGTTTTGGTTGGGCAGCTGGCTTGGGCAACTGCCATTAGGCTGGAAACCACCTAAAACGTGGAAATAATCTATTGGAGGATGAAAATCTCCTAAAACTATAAATGAGAGTTCTTTGCAAGCTTAAAGGAGGACGATTTTGAAGCCATTTAAAAAAGTACCATCTCCACATTATTCCATTGAATGCCATGGAAGCTTAAACCCTCTGTCAGGGATTGATGCAGAGTAAGGAAAGCTCGTTGAGTATCTGTCGTAACCGATTTTCACCCGGTACGACTTTTCTTAGCGGAAACCATGTAAATAAATGGTTTTTAATGGAAATAATGGGAGACTCCATCGACCTTTTGGGTTAGGTAGGTCGAATACCTAAAAATCACCTTTTAAAAGTGTTTTTAAGAAAACATCATTTAAAAATAAATCAATCTACATATAACCAGAAGTTCATTCTTTTTAGTAATAAAAAGGGATTCGGGGTCGATTACACTTGGGGAAGGATTAATACCCCCATAACGCCCAAAACTGGTACCCCGTCGATTATAAATTGCCTCTAGTAGTGGAAATCTAAGAATTTGAATATAAATTTAAGTTACGATACTATTAATCGAAATTCAACTATAGTTTTTATATAACGGAAAATTCTAAGGAGAAATAGAAAATATTCCAATATTTCCAATCAAAGAGAAAATAATCCATAAATACTTTAGGACGAATATTTCTCTTTCTAACTGAAATAATAAGAATATTATAATTTGTCCCAAGAACTCAATATTAAAATAATTTGATATAACCAAACTAAATATAACTAAAGTATGCATATTTGAGTTTTTTAGGTTTCTTCAAGTTAGGTATTTATTTATTTTAAAATATCAGAATAGAGCATCTAGTTACTTTAAGACAGTACTTTCTTAATATTTAAAAGTAAATAAATATTACCCTTTAATCCAATTATGAAATTGGTCAAATTATACTTATGAGTCTTTCATATATATATATTCATGAAACTAAAATGAAATGAATAAAAAATAAAGAGCAATAATTAAATGAAAATATTTAAAGTATTAAAATATAAAGGACAATAAAAAATCCAAAATTACAATTAATAAGCGACCAAAATAAAAAATTGAAACTATAGCACCATATTTATAAATAAAATAATAACAGAATTAACTAATGAATAAAATGAAAGAAAATAGAAATTAGTATGCAAAAATTGAAATAAAATAAATAAAAAAATATTGGTGACTAAACTATATAAAACGCCTAAACTAGGAGGACTTATGGGTGATGAACCCACTAACTAGTGACTTAAATGAAAAAAACACGCTTAAAGTACTGGAACCAAAACGCAAAACTCAGTAAATATACAGGGAATTAGACGCGATTTAAACATAAAATTAGTGGCTAAAATGTAAACATGTGCTAAATATTCAGGGGCATGAGAGGGATTTTTCCAAAATAAAAATATAGCCTAATATATTTATCTAAAAAACTAAAATTAAAACCGAAAAAAATTAAACCTTCTTCCTCTCTTCCCCGCTCATCTCTTCTCTCTTTTTCTTATCCCCTCACTTCGGTACCGCTCAACCAACACAGCCCACCAACGTTGGCCACCAATTTAGTGGCCCTTACGCTCCGACTGGTGACCCTAGTGACTGAGAAAGACCAAGCAAGGGTCTAAGAGATCGAAAGCTTCTTTCTTTTTTCCTATTTCTCTCGACCGAGAACATCCAACCCCCAAAAAGCCACGAGTCAGTCGTAAACACTCCCAGACCACCATCATCGGTGGTCGGACTACCAATACGAACCCCCTATGACCTTCAAACTTTCTCCCCTTCAACTCTTAACTAAAAAACGAAACCTACTCCGGCGAAGATACAACTTGGGCTAAGATAAACATTCAAACTCTTTTCTGTTTTTTTTTTATTTAACCTAATGTTTGATTTTGAAAAAAAATGAAAAATAAAGCTGAGAACAAAAATGAAATATAACCTTTGCTCTGTTTTTTCCCCAAATTGTTTTGTGTATTGCTGGTATCCAATCATTTTACATACTGTTATGGGATTTTTATAAGCCCATTTTGCATATATAAATTAAAATTTGACATTATCTTTTTATTTTGTGATAATGAGCTGATTCGGGATGTAGGGCATTGGTGGCCATGGATAGAGCTATCGACAATGTGAAACATTAGGGACCATGGGCGTGGCGGCTGCTAGAATGAGGAGAGGCAGCTGTCTCATATTGGAAGCTGTTGGAAGCCACAGGTGGAGGGGCAGTTGTTGTTGAAGCTGGTGAAACGTGGAGCAAGGGAGTCCATGGCTTGGTTGGGGTTTTGGCAGCTGTTATGTGGAGTGGAGAACCAGTTGTCATTGCTGGAAGCTACTAGAACATGGACAAAGGTAAAACTAGTGATTATAGTATCATCGGTAGTCAGCAGATTACAATTCGAAGCCTACTATTAAGAGAATGAGTGACATTGGATATTTTTAAACTTTGTTGATGATATTTTGGATTGATTATTTTATGTTTGTATTGCTACTACTTTTATGTTCTTTTTGCTTCATGATTACTTGTAGAAATATTAGTGATTAAAAGTATGGTGTTTTCAATTATTTTCTAGAAATATATTTGATTGATTTGTTGTACACTTTTGATAGCATTGGTATTGTTTTTTCAATTATTTTCTAGAAATATACGTAATTGATTTGTTGTGCACTTTTGATAGCATTAGTATTGCTGAGTAGCATTATATGTGTTGAAAAGCATACATCTAATTGTTTATCTTTGTTAATACTTTGAATCCTTTAATTAATGAAAATTGATTAGAGTAATTCAAAGGATTTTAGTCATTGTTAATCGCATAAAAGTAGAATACTATGCTTACTTGAAGTATGATTTGCATTATATTATTCCATGTTATTCGATTGCTGGCTTGACGCTCTCTATAGTGATGTAGCATGACCTGATGTTTCTTAATTTAACTTTTATATCCTTTAATAGCATCTTTTTTTCATACCCATCATTTCTTTAATACTTACAATTATAATGAAGAACATTTTGCTCTATGTGGATACGATGCTCGTAGCTCTTTGAGCTACCACTTAATAATTGGGAATTGGTGTATACTTGCAATTAAGCTATGGCATTTTAGCACCCATTAAGTTTTTGGCACCATTGTCGAGAAGCATCGGTATGATTTAGAGTTTTCTTTCATTTGTTCAGTTTGTTATTTTCTTTTCTAGGTAATTTTTAGCTTTCATTTTTACTAGTGTATGCCCTACAGCGACAAAGAATTAGTGCCATTTGATCAAGAAATTGAGAGGACTTTTAGGAGACATCACCACGAAGCTACCAGGAACTGAACAACTATGGCTAAAAAAGGGAATGTTGTTTTACCCCCATTGCCTACCCCCATTTCCCGGTGGCTATGGGGTGGGGCAACCATTTTATAATATGGATTATCATGATCGACCTATACGATAACTTGTAATGCCAACGTTGGATGATTTGTATCCAGGCATAGTGAGGCTAGTTATTAATGCTACAAGCTTCAAGTTGAAACATAACTTAAATGCTACAATCTATGGGATAATATGGTGGGTTTGTTGATGAAGATTATAGGGCTCATTTGAGAACGTTCATGAAGGAACGTGATTTGTTTATTCAACAAGGTGCCCTAGAGAAAGCACTAAAGCTAACGTTATTTCCTTTTTCGTTGTGTAATAAAGCAAATGCTTGGTTGAGTTCATTGCCACTAGGTGTTATAGCATCTTAAAATAAGCTAGGACAAAACTTTTTGTTGCAATTTAATTCGTCGAATATGAATGCCAAATTTCAAAATGATCTAACTTCATTCAAGCAAATGAAAGATGAAAGCTTGTATGAAGCATGGGAAAGATTCAAGGATTTACTGCGAAAGTGTCTTATGCATGGGTTCCCACATTAGAATCAAATGGAGATGTTTTACAAAAGGTTAAATAATGAAGCTTATGATATTTTGGAAAGGATCTTAACTAATGGTTGCTAATACCCTAATACGAGGTATATGTTTGGTCGACGCAACGCTACAACAATAGATTCTGAAGCTTTCAACTCTATGGCATCTCAAATTTAGTATCAATAAATATGGTAAAGAAGTTGCAAAAAATAGGGGGAATATATGAGGTCCAGGCTGCTTCAATTATCACTTGTGTTTATTGAAGCGATAATCAAAACTTTGATGAATGTTCCCAAAATCCAGAGTTTATCTATTATGTGCGAAATTATCAAATGAGTGAAAATGATTTTGACAACAATTATAATGTTAATTTCAAGAATCCTTTAAATCTTTCTTAGTGAAGCCAAAACATTTCCAATTTGCAACAATAACATTATTAGCCGTAACATTATAATCAATAGCAACCAATGTCGCAGCTATAAGCACAACATCCAGTTGCACAGCCACAACAAAGGCAAACTTATCAAGGGCAATCTTCAACCCAAAATTCCCCTTTATCATCTCTTGAAGCTTTGATGAAAGAGTAGATGGTGAGCCAGTCAGTTTCGTTACAGGATATATATAATCAAATGGGCCAAATGACAAATGCTCTTAATAATCGGTTACAAGGAACGCTACCTAGCAATATTAAAATCCAAAGCAGCAAGGTAAAGATCATTGCAAGGATATTACTACAAGGAGTGAATTCATATTGGGCAGTCAGTTGAAGAGCCTCAAAAAAATGATGTGGAGGTTAATAAGCATGGCAAGGGAAAAAATGAAGAAGTTAGAGCCACCTGTGAGTCGTACCACAACATCAGATGCATGACAGTGTAGCAATTCAGATTCATTGCCGACAATAACACCTGCAACATCTAATGCTCTGCCAACTTTAGTGCCTTAGCACCAACATCCAAATATGCCTCCACCATTTCCACATACTTCAAAAAAGACAAATAAAGATCAATAATATAATGCTTTTATTGATCTCCTTTGCCAACTCACAATTAATATTTCGTTGATTGATGCTTTAGAGAAAAACCCAAATTACATCAAATTCATGAAGCAAGTTCTTTCAAAGAAAAAACGACTTGGTGAATTTGAGACTGTTGTTCTTACCTAAGGATGTAGTGCCATGGCTACAAATCAATTTCACCAAAGCTTAAAGATTCAGGGAGTTTTACTATTCCTTGCAATATTGGTGATACATTTGTAGGTAAAGCTTTAAATGACTTGGGTACTAGCATAAATCTAATGCCATTGTTAATCTTTAGGAAATTTGGGAGCGACAATGCAATACCAATTACAAACTCGCTAACCGCTCTACCGTGCATCCTAGTGGAATTGTGGAAAACATGCTTGTGAGAGTAAAGAAGTTCATTTTTTTCCTGCGAACTTCATCATTTTAGATTGCGAAGCAGCTAAAGATGTTTCAATCATTCTTGGTCACCCATTCGTTACCACGGGTTGAGCCTTAATTGATGTTGAAAAGGGAGAATTGAACATGCGTCTAAGCAATGAATATATCACTTTTAATTTTTTAAATGATGTTTATTATTTAAATGAAAGTGTTGAATGTTTCTCACTTGATGTGATTAATATCGTTGCATAAAAACACTAGGAAGAATGTTGCAACACATATATTTTCACTGGCAATTCGGAAGCAATTAAAGAATTATTTGATGATGCCAAGGGTGAATGTTATTGCAATTATCTGTAGAATATTGAACCTATAGAAATTTTTGATTGCATTATTCGAGCTCTGAAATCGTCTATTGAAGAACCACCAGAGCTCGAATTGAAATTGTTGATAGAACATTTGAAATATACTTATCTTGGAGATAATGAAACACTATCAGTCATTGTGGCAGCACAACTTATAGTATCTTAGTAAGCTTAGTTGATTGATGTGCTGAAGCATCACAAGAGAGTGATTTCTTTGAGCATCACATATATAAAAGGCATTAGTCCATCATTTTGCATGAACAAAATTCTTTTGGAAGATCCTAATAGTATTTTGATCAAACATCAACGAAGGTTAAATTCAATCATGGAGGAAGTGGTTAGAAAGGATATTATAAAATGGTTGGATGCTGGAATCATATATGCAATTTCAGACAACAATTGGGTTTGCCTTGTACAATGCGTTCCAAATAAAGGCGGAATTACTATAGTGATAAATGATAAAATTGAATTAATGCCACCAAGGACCACTACTAGATAGAGAATATGTATGGAATATAGGAAGCTCAACAAAATGACGAGAAAATATCATTTTCTATAACCATTCATAGACCAAATGTTGGACCATCTTACCATTAAAGTTTTTTACTATTTTTTAGATGGATATAATGGTTATAATCAAATTGTTAAAGGATAAAACAACTTTCACATGTCCATATGGTACCTCTGCTTTCTATAGAATGTTTTTTTGGTTATGTATTGCTCCAGCAACATTTAAGCATTGCATAATGGTTATATTCACCGATATGATTAAAAATTATCTTGATGTATTTATGGATGACTTTTCTATGTTTGAGCAAGATTTTGAGAGTTGTAGTATTGAGAAGATATGAGGAGACCAACTTGGTTTTGAATTAGGAGAAATGAAATTACATTGTAGTGGAAGGTATAGTGCTCAAGCACCGTATTTCCTACCGTGTCATTGAGGTGGACAAGGCAAAAATGGAAGTTATTGAGAAACTGCCACCTCCAACTAATATGAAGTTAGTTCAAAGCTGTCTTAGTTGTGCTATTTTTAGATAATATTTATCAAGGAATTTTCTCAAATAGCTAAGTCGTTGTGTTCTTTGCTGGAGCAAAATAGAATGTTCATTGTTGATGAGGAAGTGTTTAAGTCCTTTGAGACAATTAAAATGAAGCTAGTGAATGCTCTTGTCATTGTAGCACCAGACTGGAGTTTATCTTTTGAGTTAATATGTAATGCTAGTGAATTTTTTATTAGTGGAGTGTTGGGGCAACATAAAGAAAAAGTGTTTCATGATATACATTATGTGCGCAGAACATTAAATTATGTTCAAGTTAATTACATCACAACTGAAAAGGAGTTGCTCGTTGTAGTGTTTGCTTTTGACAAAATCCATTCTTACTTAGTAGACACCAAAGTAATTGTTTATACTGACCACTCAGTGTTTAAGCATTTATTTGCTAAGATGGATATAAATATTAGATTGATCTGATATGTGCTCTTACTGCAAGAATTTGATATTGAGATTCGGGATAAAGAGGATCTAAAAATTAGGTGGCTGATCACCTATCTAACTTGGAATCAGGTAGTAAGGATGGTAGTATTTTAGTAATTCCAAGTAATTTTCCAAATAAGTGACTGCTTGTTGCTAATATATTACTGTGGTATGATAATTTTGCCAACTATCTAGTTAGTGGGATGATGCCACTCGATCTTAACTATCAAGGCATAAAAACTTCATGAGGGACGTGAGGTAATACCATTGGGAAGAGTCATATTTATTCAAATAATGCAACGACCAAATCTTGAGGTGACGTTTTACTGAATGTAAACAACAAATCATTCTATAACATTGCCACAACACCCCTTATATAGGTCATTTTGGTGGTATGTGTACAACAACGAAAGTACTTTAGTGTTGTTACTATTGGCCATTGCTATTCAAAGATGCCAACGAATTTGTAAAGCACTGTGATCACTGTCGTGAACGGGTAATATTTCTAGGCGAAAAGAAACACCAATGCAACCTATTTTGAATAATAAACTTTTTAATGTTTGGGGCCTAGATTTTATGGGTCCTTACCCATATTCTTGTGGCAACTTTTTTATTTTTATAGCCGTTGATTATATATCCAAATGGGTGGAAGCTTTAGCTTTGCCAAACAGTAATGCTAAAGTGGTGTTACATTTTTGCACAAAAATATTTTCACTCCCTTTGGAACACCCAAAGCATTTATTAGCGATTAATGATCTTAATTCATTGGAAATCAAGTTGTTAGAGCATTGAATCATTATGGTGTGAAGCATAAGATCACTACAATATATCATCCACAGACCAATGGCCAAGCCGAAGTTTCCAATCAGAAAATTAAACAAATCCTTAAGATGGTTGTGAATCTTTCTAGAAAATATTGGTCACAATGCCCTAAAGAAGCATTAGCATTATGGGCTTATAGGATTGCTTACAAGACTCCATCGGGGATGTCTCATTATCGTCTTGTTTATGGAAAAGCTTGCCATCTGCCTGTTGAGTTAGAGCATAAGCCTATGTAGGCATTGAATAAGCTAAACTTTGAACTAAATGCTACGGGGGAAAATGAATGCTAGAGCTTAATGAGCTCGAGGAGCTCCGAAAAAACTATGAGAGTTCATGAATTTACAAAGATAAAAGAAAAAAGTTGCATGACCAAGATATTTTTCCACGACAATAACAAGTTATGTTATTTCATTCATGATTGATGCTATTTCCAAGGAAGTTGTGATCTTGTTGGATGAACCGTTTTGAAGTTCTTAAAGTTTTTCCTCATGGCGCTGTGTTACTAAAGAACTTGGTGGATAGAGGCATATTTAAAGTTAATGGGAAACGTTTAAAGAACTATTTCCAGCAATAAAATCCTAACATTACTTTAATCACACTGAGTGATCCCCTTGATTTTTAATTTATTTGCATTTTAAATAAGTTAACTTATTTGACATTTATTTTTCTTAGTTCTTATTTTTGTTTTATTTGTACATGATTTTATTGTTACATTCATAATCTCACTTACACTATGAAACTTGATCTTCACTGAGCAACACTTTTCACTCTGGCATGCATTCAATGTTTTTACTACAGCTACAGTAGTAACCGACCGAGCATATATCCACTATGGTAAAAGTAATTATGAGTTGTAAACTATTTATCCCCCTTAAATTTTTAATCGACAACCTTATCCAATCATAATCGTACATTAAAAACAAAATCTTATCCCT